CCCCCTCTCTTGTAGTGGGAGGGTCATGCAGGCTGAGATGTGATGATAGCTTTTATTTGAAATGACAGGAGAAGTTAGGAACAATGCTGGACAAGATGATGCGAGTGGAAAGTATAGTTCCCAAACTAAGTATTGACTTGGGAATTAATGAGGAAATGGGTCAAACTGTTCAGGAAGCAGCATCACTTGCTATGTCAGATCTTGCTACTGCTGTTGTCACTGAATTCACTTCTCTCTCTGGAATAATGGCCCGCCATTACGCCCTTAGAGATGGCTATTCAGAGCAGGTTGTTTAACTGACTATTAATTTGATTCTTTTTCTTATCATTTAAATTTTATGCTGCATTGTGGAATTCTGTTTCCGTTGTTTATCTTTTAATACACAGTTTGTTGTGATTTACCTGGTGGTAGATTGCAGAGGCCTTGTTAGAGATCACACTTCCTAGATTTTCTGGAGATCAGCTTCCAAAAAGTGATGTGGGGACAATTCTGGCTATAGCTGACAGGTGAAGTTTTATCTGTTGGTTTATTTCCTCTTCTACTTCATGATCATTTGCACTTTAAACGTGGAAGTCACTTTGCAGATTAGATAGCCTTGTTGGCTTATTTGCTGCTGGCTGCCAGCCTAGCTCTACCAATGATCCATTTGGCCTGCGAAGAATTGCCTATGGTTTAGTAAGTAAATGTTTGCTGCGATACTTGAGGCTCCAATAATCACATTTTTATAATGGTAGGTTTGTTAATTGCAGGTTCAAATACTGGTAGATAAGGATAAAAATATGGACTTGAAACATGCTTTGGGACTGGCTGCTGATGTTCAACCCATTAAAGTAGATACCAGTGTAATAGAGGATGTAAGACTGAGACCTTATATGTTATAATGAAGCATCAAATTTACTTTTCTGTCCTCTCTTTTATATAACCTCATCATCAGTTTTTGTAGCCATAAGCTGCTCTAATTTTAATATTCCTCTTGTTCTTATTTTACTTCTTGTCAATCGAGTAATTTTGGATGAACCTAGACCCTAACCAACTAGTTATGGAAGGGGTATTCAACCAGGATGACCAGGCCTTAATCCCTAACCCCAAGGTCCCCTCTCCCAATCAATTCCCATATTTCAGATTAAAATGTAAAAAGATTTAGATTACATAGACTGATGGCCAGGGAAGGTCTTATTTATTTACTTCTTTATTGTTAGCATCACATCTGTCTTGTCTTGTTAATACATTGTTTATAAATTGATGGTACTCAGTCTCATTTCTTATGTTTATTTTCCATTGCGACTGATGCCTTGTTGTTTCCTTTTCCAGGTACAACAATTTGTCACTAGGAGATTGGAGCAATTCCTGGTATGTAAAACTTTTTGCACCATTGAGTTCTAATCCATTTCACTGTTTTGAGCAGTAATTGACCAAATTTGTAGGAATAATATTTAACTTGACCAAATTCTCTTACCTTGGTTTTTCACTCGTCTTTTCTGTATGGAGGTTATGAATATTGTCAGTTACATGAGTTTTAACACATCAAGGCTGCTTTTTGGTTATAGGTTGACAAGGGGATTAGTCCAGAAGTGGTTCGTTCTGTACTTGCAGAGCGTGCAAACTTGCCTTCTCTGGCTACAAAAACAGCATGGAAAGTAAGTGAATAAGGTCACTGTTCTTCTTAGATATTCCTTTCTGGTGCCACTTGAAATATGGTTATCTATATTCAATCATCAATTTGGTTTTGTTAAAACTAGAATTTCTTTGTCTAGAATTACTGAGCAATTGCCTATGCTTGGAAATGATTATTCTTGGTAAGTTTGGAATGGGAGGGGCTCTGGTTACTTTGATATCAACTGAGTCTTTTTTGTGGAAATTCCTGTACTTGGTAATAATAGGAAGTTGTATCTTGTTGAAAGAAATGACAGAAATTTGTTGCTGAAATTGCAATATGAATTATATTGTGCTCTTTTAAATATTAGATGGTCTTTTGTGAATAGGGATCTTGGGAATTTTTGTTTTCAAGAAGTCTTCAGGGGAAATATTTATAGGATATAGGAAAAATTGTTTTTATCTTTCCTTTCATTCCTTATAATTTAGTCTGTATAAAAATAAATGAATGCAGATGGAAGCTTTGTTGAAGGGTGAACTTTTCCCTAAAGTTGTAGAAGCGTATTCTCGGCCAACAAGAATTGTTCGTGGAAAGGATGTGGATTCTGATAGTGAGGTGTGTGTTGTTTTTATACTGAATAAAAGATCAGTTCCTTTGGGACCTAGAGAGTATTGACATTCTGGCTTAAATTTGTGAACCCCTTTGAATCTCTTTGACACAAAAGTCATTATTAAAGTTTTTGATCTTGGACATAGAGAAATCTCTGGAAAAAGGTTTTTACTAGAATTAAATCATGACACCCTAACCATCACTTGATTGACTATAATTTGCTCTCATTTGTTCAATGTAGTGAGCATTTAGGGTTAGTTTCAAGGTCTATTTCTCGAGGCTTTTTAACATTGGAAAATTAAAAGGTTTCATGATTTTTAATTGATTTTAAGGATTTGTGTTGTACTTTTTGTTAGGTGGATGATGCTGCATTTGAAACAAATGAAGAGAGAGCCTTGTGGAGTGCTTTCTTGTCCATCAAAAACAAAATTCACCCGGGTACATAATTTTTCCTAAATAAAGTTTCTTGTCTGTTGTGCTGTTGAGTTAATATCTTTTCTATGACATGCCGCCTTCCCAGTTGTGAACTAGTAATCGGTTTAACTTGTCTATTCTGCAGGTATTGAGGTTGATGATTTTGTCGAAATGTCATCAGGACTAGTACAACCACTGGAGGACTTTTTCGATAATGTGTTTGTAATGGTGGTAGGTTTCTTCATACCTTTTAAATGCATTAAGGTTGCCAACTTAACAAAGAACTTGAAAATTCAACACCAAGATTGAATGTTATGCTGATTTTGAACACACTAGTACATCATATTTGGGCACCATTCTGTTTGCACTTTGTTAAAGAAATGCTTTCTTTCTCACTTATATCCTAAAACGATACTGATATATCTTCTGCATGTGTAGGAGGAAGAAAGAATAAGGAAGAACAGGCTCTCCTTGCTTAAGAAAATTGCAGATCTTCCAAAAGGAATAGCAGACCTCTCAGTTTTGCCAGGATTTTAAGTTAAGCAGCCCCTCATCGATTTTTACCCTTCAGAAGAGGAGAATCCATGGTCTATGTTTTTGGCATCGACTAGTAGAGAACATATCAACTATATGCTGAAATTCAATCAGGGCATGGCTAATTTAACAGGTTTTGGATAGGCCAGTGAAATATATGCAATGCATCCCCTGTATCATCCATCATGATTTTTTTACAAAAATAAAAATAAAGAAAGAGAGAGGATGAAGAGAGAAGGAAAGAAAGAAAGAAAGAAACAACTACAAATTTTCGAAACTGATTAAAGTAAAATTTTTTTTTTTATGTTTTCTTCTGAACTCTTAACAAACCCTGGAATGCATTCTAATTTTTTTTCGTTATTGATATAAATGTTATCCTGAAATTTTTCAAAAATGAATCTGGTCTGAATTGCACCGAAGGTCAAGTGCGCCGGTGCAGCAAGTGGGTTATTAACTTATTATCCACCTTTTTCTCATTTAGTGAATGAAAGGGTGGAAATTTATGTTTTTTTTTTTTTAATTAATCTCTTAATATTTAGTAATTATATTAAGTGTTGATTAATTTAAAATTGAATTACGTAAAATTTTATTAAAATTTTTTTTTGTATTTATTTTTTATTTATAAAATTTAAACTCAAAATTTTATTTAAAAGGAATTGAATTCTTTCGCTTATTAATTATCGACGGGGTCGTTGGTGGAAATTTATGTATTTATTATCCACCTTTTTCTCATTTAGTGAATGAAATGGTGGAAATTTATGTTTTTTTTTTATTAATCTCTTAATACTTAATAATTATATTAAATGTTGATTAATTTAAAATTGAATCGCATAAAATTTTATTTTATTTTTTTTTTGTATTTATTTTTTATCTATAAAATTTAAACCTAAAATTTTATTTAAAGGGTATTGAATTCTTTCATTTATTAATTATCGACGGGCCGTTGGTGGAAATTTATGTATTTATTATCCTCTCTACTCCATGCCTCGGCTGTGTGACGGGGACGTCCTGAACTTCATCAATTTCTTCCGAACTTTATCCATTTCTTCTGTATTTTCTTTCATCAATTATTGATATGTCACCACGTGGCACTCAAATTCACCCTCCAAAATAAAACACTACACGACACATCTGTGGCAGGCGGCTGGTTGCGAGATAAGCCTAAGCTCTCACAGTGACATATTGCTCTGAAAACCCTTCCAAAGGGGCAATCCAATGTGTCAATATACATAAAATAAATTAAAATATTATAATTACATAATTGCAAATTTATAATATAATATATTATTATATAATTATTTTTTTATTTAAAACCCTTCCAAAGGGGCAATCCAATGTGTCAATATACATAAAATAAATTAAAATATTATAATTACATAATTACAAATTTATAATATAATATATTATTATATAATTAATTTTTTATTAAAAAACCCTTCCAAAGGGGCAATCCAATGTGTCAA